TACCACCCTTCAATGTGGGGTCTGTTTCATGCCAACCATCCCTTTATTTCTTCAGCACTCGCTATGGTCAAGTACTGTGTTTGGTGCTGAGGTTTCAATGACTAAAGCAAGAGTTCCTTGTCCTCAAGGGCTCCTTCTCTACCAGGAGAGTCAGATAATCTAATAAAGTGTGAAAAATGCAATGCAAGGGAGAAAACCATTGTGGGAACACATAGCAGGGGTCCATCTTGGCCCATGGGGATCCAGATTTCTTATTTTTCGTTTAGTAAGAGTATACCCAGGCAAAGATACACCACCTCAACAATTTCTACATATACAAGTCACTGATATTGGTCACCTTATTCAAAGTATGCCTCCTTTCCCCCCCTTTTATGTTATTGTTTTTGAGAATATACAGATGACAATGTACACAAATGCATTTATTTCTGCATGTACAATTGAGAATGTAATTTCCACTGATAGCATCCTTTTAGTGTATGTCCACTTTCACTCTCTTTTTCTTAGTTGCTCCTCCTACATGAACATAAACTCATTGTTCCCTAAAGATCAGGTGCCTGCCTAACCTTTCAAATTGCTGTTGTCCTTTTGATCCCATACAATTTTTTTAAAAAACCATAACACAATGACTAAGGAGGATAGAAGGAGAATTGATGCCTTTGAACTGTGGTGCTGGAGAAGAGTATTGAATGTACCCTAGACTGCCAAGAAAACAAACAGATTCATCCTAGAGAGGGAAACCAGGCTACCCCTTCGAGGCAAGGATTCTGAGGCTTTGTCTGACATACTTTGGGTAAGGAGGGAGAGGTCCTTGGAGAGGGACATCATGCTTGGTAGGGTGGAGGGACAGCGCAGGAGGGGAAGACCCTTTATGAGGTGTATTGATTCAGTGACTGGGGTAATCGGGATGGGTGTGTCAGAGACAGTGCGATTGGCACAGGATAGAGCAGGGTTTAGGGCTGTTGTACATAGGGTCGCTATGAGTTGCAAGTGACTCGACAGCACATAACAACAACAACAATGCTAAAAAAAAGAGCATAATGCACAAGACAGGTGTGTTTTTCACTAGCTAAACTATTGCTGTTGTTTAATTTTAAGAAGATTTATCATTCATTAAATTATAAACATTATGATCTTTTTAAAGTTTTTTAAGTGAGAACTATATTGTTGACTTAGTTGATAAAATATGTAATTTTCCCTTTAACCCAACCCACTATCTCTCTATTATGTAATTATTAGTTTTTAGGAAATGTTTTTTATTTAAGGTTTAAGGATTTTCTCAGGGCGATATTGAGATGTTCTTCTACTGTCCATGGCTCTAGAAAGTTCTGGATTGCTAAAGGGAAGATATGTTGAAACTGAAACCTAGAGGATGAGTAGGAGTTAAACTTCTTGCATATAATAGCACAATAAATATTTGTCATAGGGATGAAGAGACTGAGTAACTTTTACAGTCATCTTAACACTAGGTCTGAGAGAGTGAATACTGTGTCATTTTTGAGGTAAGGAAGAAGGCCTACCATGTGTCTAAGTGTTCTCTCTCTCTCTGATCTTTGTCCCCTGAAGTGCTGGTGCGGAGGGTCTAGCAGCCCACAGAAAATCCCCTCACCACACAGGGATTCAGTAGCACAGAAGTGGTCTGAATCCTACCAGTTTAGATCCAAAATAGAACAGAGCAAGGAAGAAATAGTCTGAAAGAAAACATGTGCTCTGGTTGGTAGAGGTGGAGGGAAATCTGAAATACAAGTTGGGAGCAAACACAGGACCTAAATATCTTCTGCTGGGTCAGCTTACCCTCTGTGCCCTCCTCACCCTTACCAGCCCTGAGAACCAGATTCCTGGCTTTATTGGTGATCCATTTTCAAAGACGGTACCTACTATTAGAAGCCAGAATCAGTTTCTCTCTGAGCTGGAGCCGTTCCCTTTGGGGAATTTTGACACAAACTTGATCTCATGTGCTGTGTTGATGCAGTCATACATTGGATGTAGACATAGGCACACTGGAGGAGGTGTGGGACTCAGAATGAGTTGTGTGATCTGTGATCTGTCTCTACCTCTCTGAACCTCAGTGTTTCCATCTATAAAATAATATAATATTAGTTATTGATATATGTTTTCAAGGGAGGTTCAAAAGAAACTAAACCAATATCACAGCACTGGTCATTCTCAGACCCCAGGATCTTTTGCTTCTCCTCCCATGAGCTATGTATGCTCTTCCTGAAGTATTCTTGCAAAACCTGAAAAGCTAGAGTGTTCCAGAAGACCAGGCAGAGAAGATCACAAAGTACCTCAGACAGGGCTGGGTGTGGTAATGGTGGCGGGGAAACGAGGCTCAGGAGGCTGAGGGGGTCAGGGCCCACAGAGGATGCCACTACCTTAAAGTAGCATGTATGTGATTGGGCCCCTTCCAGTCCTCTCCAGTGCCACCTTAGCTTCGGACACGTGCCCAGGAAGATAGAACTACATGCAGGTTGGCAATGTGCTGGTTGTTGGGTGGTTCCTGGGTTAAAAGGATTAATGAAAGTGAGGGGATTGAGGACCTGGGGTTTCTAACTCTCCACATACATGCCTTTCAGGAGGACAGGGCTAACTCCACAGTAGTATCAATGGTAATAAAAGTAAAGATAAAAACCAATTAATTGCTTACTATGTACCAGCCACTTCGTGCTTCAAAGGCAACATCTCGTTTAATTCTCACAACCACTCTGAGAGAGGGCACTCTAATTAGCAGACAGGCCAGGATAACTTAGATAGCTTAGCCAAGGTCACACTTCATCAGGAAGGCAGGATTTGATGTCTTTCTCTGGACACCAAAATACCACAAATCCATTGCTGTGGAGTCACTTGTGACTCATGGATTCCCCTGGGTCTCACAAAAGACTTTTCCTTGGCTGGAAACCAAAGAGTAGACAATTTAATCTAACAAGTAGTGCTGCGGAAGAAAGGCCTGGTGAGCTACTCCACGGTGATTGCTTTTGTGGACTATTGGGTCAGTTCTGACCCATAGCAACCTTATGTGATAGAATAGAATTGCCTTATAGGGTTTTTTAGGCTGTGATCTTTATGCAAGCAGATTTCTAGGTCTTTTCTTCTGCAGAATGGTGATGATTCATGGATTCAAACTACCCATATTCTGGTTAGTGACATGTACTTAGCTTGTGCCACCAGGACTTCTTCCATAAAGATTGAAATTCATAGGATTGAAAACTTTCTTTGGGAATGGAACTTCTACTTTTAAACTGATGGGGTGGTTGTGAGTTAGTATTCCCCTCCCTGAAGTCAGGGACGGACCATGCACATTGGCAGGTAAAACTGAATTAGGGGGTGTCTGGCTTTGACACCTCTACTGACCAGATCCAGGCACCTCCAAGTTCCCAGGAGCCTTGTTTTGATGTGGGCTGTCCTTCCTCCTATGCCCATGCTCTCTGAGGGCTCTGCTCCTGATTGAGTTCCAAGAAGCTGGAAAACACCAGGTCAGGTTGTGGGTAAGAATAGAAACCACAGACCAACCACGTGCTTCCCTTCTGGTGTCTGGCGGGCATCTCGGGCACTGAGCCACCTGGTGTGGGCCCCTGCAACCTCAGGGTGAGGGAGGTAAAAGCGATCTTCCTAGCAAAACTTCATGGTAAGTTACAAATCCTATGTGGATGTGCACATGTGCACAAAACCTTCCCCTACACACTTACAGACACTCACGCCCAGAATGTAATTTTAAACTGTTAGTGAAAGGACCAACCAGATAGTTGTCCTCATACTAGAGTGTTGCTCAAAGGGTCTCCTTGGCCTCACATAGGGAAGGGGGAAGGTTATGGTGTCTATAAAGATTTACCCACTTCTCAGTCCAGGAAGAATCAAATTTATATTCTCCTAACTGCTCTCTCTAGTTAATGCATACCAATCATTTCTTATTCCTGCACTTGTAAGTCATCATTCACTCACTCATTGCTGTCGAGTTGGAACTGACTCATAGCAGATGGCTTCTGAGGCTGTAAATCAAGTGAGAGGAGATTGCCCATCTTCCTCCTGAGGAGGCACTGGAGGATTTGAACTGATTGGGAGCCTTGACCTGTGAGTTAGCAGTGCAGCTCTCTACGAACTACATCACACAGCTGTACTCATGACCTAGTGGCAAGAAGCTGCGCTGCAATCCTGAAGGCACGTGGGTTGAGGCCACCAATTGCTCCATGGGAGATGGATGGGCAATCAAACTGCTTCTGAAAACCCCCTGGAAGGTCACCTATGGGTCCGTTCTGACTCTATGGTTACACAACAACAACAACGTCCCTTCCAAGAATGTTCATCTTCTCTCTATAATGTCTGAGATTGTGGTGCATGTGCCGGCTCAGAAAGTTAGGGTCTAAGCATGAAAAAAGGAGCTTAGTGGTACAACTGCTTGGCTCTAACTGAAAGGTTGATGATTCAAACTCATTCAATGGCTCCATGGGAAAAAGACTAGAAATCTGCTTCTATAAAGATTACAATCAAGAAAAGCCCAAAGTGCAGCTCTAGTCAAGCACATTGGATTGTCATGAGTTAATATCGACTAGGTGACACCCAACAGTTACAGACGTGAAGATGAATGCTGTGTGTTGCAGTGAATTTAGGGATCAGGGACTCTGTCTTTGCTCTTCTGAAGCCAGGAGAGTTATGGTTTGAAAGTTCCCCTTATTTCACCTGTGCATCTGTTCTCTTTTTCCTTTTCCTGGAATAAAAAAAAAATTAGCTTTGGAAAGCAGCTTTTTAGCCTTGGAAAGTTTGCTTTTAGAGCAAACCGTCTGTGTCTTCTTTAAAGCCAAGCAAATCTTGGTTCATTTGCAGTGGAAATCATGTACCTGGTGTCTGAGACGCCACCTGGTTTGGGAAGTGTGGATAGAAAGATGGATTTCCTGGAAGTCAGTTGCCAAGGAGAGAGACAAATCCTCAGATGTGAGGGATGTGGGGCACAGGCAGGGCTGGGGGTGCCAAGATCTGTCTGACCTTGACTCCTTACTCTCTCTCCTCAGCGGGAATGCATATCAGTCCACGTGGGCCAGGCAGGAGTTCAGATCGGCAATGCCTGCTGGGAGCTCTTCTGCCTGGAGCACGGCATTCAGGCTGATGGCACCTTTGGGGCCCAGGGCAGCAAGGTCAACGACGATGACTCCTTCAACACCTTCTTCAGCGAGACTGGCAATGGGAAGCACGTGCCTCGGGCTGTCATGGTAGACCTGGAGCCTACTGTTGTGGGTGAGTATGGGATCCATCTTGTCCTACCATGGCTGAAGCTTTGTTCCAGGATAAGTAAGAAAGCAGAATCATTAAGTGAAAGGGGAAATGAGGGAGCGTAAATAGAGCTCTGACTTTGGGGATCTCTACAGTCTTTGAGGATTTCACAATAGGATCAGGGCTCTCTGCTCCACCATCATAGCTCTAACCTATGCAGAGCAGAAGGCCCTCAGCTTAAATCCCTGCCCTCTCAGAGAAAGACTGAAATGATCAAGATTGTTAATAATTACCCAAAGTAAACAAAACAATCTAAAAATTTCCAAGAAGCCTCCAAGAGGTAAGTTTGTCCAAAGCATAGGTTTTGGATTCTAAAGTAATTGGAGTCTGTCTTCATGTTATTGGAGTCTGTCTTCATGTTGTTGTTGTTGTTATGTACCATTGAGTTGCTTGCAACTCATAGCGACCATATGTAACTCATAGCGACCCTATGTACAACATCCCTAAACTGCTCTGTCCTGTGCCAATCACACTGTCTCTGATAGACCCATCCCGATTACCCCAGTCACTGAATCAATCCATCTCATAGAAGGCCTTCCTCTCCTGCGCTCCCAAGCATGATGTCCCTCTCCAAGGACCGGTCACTCCTTACAACAAGTCCAAAGTATGTTAGACGGAGCCTCAGAATCCTTGCCTTCAGGGAGCCACCCAGTTTATAAACCCTTTCCAGGATGAATCTGTTTGTTTTCCTAGCAGTCCATGATAGCCTCAATACTCTTCTCCAGCACCATAGCTCTAAGGCATCAATTCTCCTTCTATCCTTCTTAGTCATTGTCCAACTCTCTGATGCATAACAAGTGATAGCAAAGACCATGGCCTGTATCAGACACACCTGGTCTCCAGAGAGACACCATTGCTCTTCAGTACTTTGGAGAGGTCCCTAACAGCTGACTTTCCCATGGCAATACGTCTTTTAATTTCTTGGCTGCTGGTGCCAAGAGTGTTGACTGTGGAGCCAAGCAAACTAAAGCTGTGAACAATCTCAATTTCTTCACCATCCATCCTGATGCTGCTAATTGGTCCAGTGGTGAGAATCTTTGTCTTCTTGACATTGAGCCTCAATCCATATTAGCGGCTGCAGTCCTTGACCCTCTGCAGCGAGTACTGTCATGTTGTTGTTATGTGCCATCGAGTCGTTTCCGACTCATAGCGACCCTATGCACAACAGCTCTAAACCCTGCTCTATCCTGCGCCAACCGCACCGCCTCTGACACACCCATCCCGATTACCCCAGTCACCGAATCAATCCTTCTCATAGAGGGTCTGTCATAGGTCTATATAATCAGCAGTGTTTTACAAACTGGAATAACAGCAGGCATGTCCTCTCACCACTAGAGGCCACTGTAGTTCTAGAATGAACCTCACCCCTCCCAACATCCCTGCCACGCCCCTTGAGGTCTGACCCCTGGATCTGTCAGAATCAGGACTTCCTCACCTTCAAGACTGGCTCTCCACACAAGGGATGGACAAGTTCCACAGAGATGTCTGAGGAATCACCTATAATTAGAACAACACTTTTTAGGCGTGGACAGGCTTGAATGTTTTGTACAAATGCAAAAAAGCAAAGAGGTGTGGAGTGCACTTCACTGAGGAAGGAAGGAGGTGGGGCCTGGAGCATCTGGGTTGCCCACATGTTCAGAATGTGCCTGATAGCCTCCCCAGAAATCTGGAGTGCATTTGCTCCAGAATCATTCCTAAACAGCCCTAGTGCCTGCTGTGTCAAGTTGTTCGCACCTTGGGGTAGAGGTCAGGGCCGGGACAGTTCCTTGGAGAGGGTAGTTCCACCCTGAATCTCCTTATGCCTACAGTGTTTTTATACAACTGAAACTGGGGTAAATTATTGGTATAAAGGGTACATTTTGGGAAATTCTTGGCACCAAGGGTAACTTTGAAGCATGAAACAAAAAAACATAAAGGGACATTTGAAGGGTCAAAGTAAGGAAGGAGGGAGAGGCAGTCAACTTTGGTGTTTGGTAAGTTTTTTAAAAACCTTTTTGAAATCCTAGGCCAGAGACCAGCTGTCTTCTCGTTGTCTGTGTGAGTCACAGCTTTCTGGCTCTGCTGGTGCTTACAAGACTCTAGACTTCCCTTAGTCTTTTGTAGATTTACTATAATGATTCTCTTATTTCATCTGCATGAAGCTTTGCAGATGTGGAAATGGAGACCCAGAAGCCTGTCATGTGGTGTCCCTCGGGGGCGGAACTCTGCTCTACCCCCCACCCCACCCCACACCAGGGGTGTAGACTTGATGGCCCCCCTCTCTCTTGACAGATGAAGTTCGGGTAGGGACCTACCGTCAGCTTTTCCATCCAGAGCAGCTGATCACCGGAAAGGAAGATGCGGCTAACAACTACGCCCGAGGCCACTACACGGTGGGCAAAGAGAGCATTGACATGGTGCTGGACCGCATACGGAAGCTGGTAAGTGTTAAAGAGGACAGGAAACTGTGAGTCAGTCCACAGGGGTGGCCTCACACCTGTGACCTCACAGCTCTGACCTCTGAGAGGGGATTCCCTGAGGACTAGGAATTTCTGCTATGCTCTGTAATAGCAGACTGGGCTTGGCCCCCTTCTCCACCTGAGCATCAGGAATACCCCACAGGTTGATGCCCTGTTAATACACACACTACTACAGGTTAGTCTCTGGGGAAGGTTCTGGTTATAATGAAGGCAAAGTCCCTGTTTGCTTGCAGCAAAGGCCAGCAAAACATCTAACTTGTAATAGAAGAAAGAGAGCTGATAGATTTGTATACTTACAAGTGTCAGACATTAAATTTATTCATTCACTTAATCCTCTAAACAATGACATGAGAGAGATCTTTTCCCTGTTTGTTGTTGTTTGGTTGGGTTTTTGTTATTGATAAGGTTTTTCAATCATGTTTATCATTTCATAGTGCCTGTGGGTCAGGCCTCTGGACATGACATGGCTGGTGGATCTGACTCGGAGGTGCCGTCAGGAAGCTGCGATCATCTTAAGACTCAAGTTAGAAAGGCTCTGTTTCCAAGCTCTTGCACGTGGTTGCTAGGGATCACTTTCCTTCCCCCCCCCCTTGCCTGGCTATATTCCCTCAGCCCTTTGCCAGGTAGGCCTCTCTGAAATGGAGCACAATGGAGAAAAGAACCAGTATGAGCAAAACATGAGACAGTATCTCTTGCAACTCAGCCTCAGAGGGGATATTCCTTCATCGTTCCTCACATTCTAGAGGGTCATTGAAAGAGAGGAAGACCCTCACTGAGTGGGACTGACACAGAGACTGCAACAGTGGGCTTGCGCATGACAGGGACCGTGAGGGTGGTGCAGAACGGGGCGAGGTTCTTATTTGTTGTTTATAGGGTTGCTGTGAGTCACAGTCAACTCCATAGCACCTAACAGCAACAGCAATAACGTTAAAAACAAGTCAATAGAGCCATCCGCACAAAGCGGAGGGATTACACGGGACGTGGATAGCAAGCAGCAAAGAGAACTGATGGTCTTTTGAGCAGTTGTCTACCATACCTCTTGATATCAATTAAAACTCAAATTTCCCTTCTATTTAATGTGATCCAAACCTGACAGATTACATTTGAGTGGGAACTGGAAATTCTCTGTAGCATGTGGAATTCAATCTTGTCCCTGTGATTTATAGATGAAGAAATTGAATGCCAAAGAGCTGGAACATGGCCGAGTTAGGACTTGAGCCTGGGCAATAGGGTGGGGCTTATTTGAGCCCCTACTTGCTCGCTTGTTCTATAGAAGGTTTTAGTCCCGGTCAGTGTTTCTTTATCTGGAGCCAAACAAGGATGTCAGATGTGTGCAATCATTCATTTATGTGTGTGTACAGAAGGACTCATAATTGCATTGAATGACCACAGGCCCTACCCCATGTGAGCACTTTGAAATTCTGTGAATTCTGTTTGGACCTACATGCCAGGTCCTGGCTCAGTGAATTATGTTATCTCATTAAATTCTCATAACAACCTTATGAGAAGAAACTTTGACCTTGTTTGAATATGAGAAAAATGAAGGTCTGCAGAGGTTCACTAACTTACTCAACTTTTCACAACTGGGAAATGGAAAAGTTGAGATTGAAAACAGGTTTTTTTGACCCTATTTGTATTTCCTGAGCTCAGTACCCTAGAGCCCCCCCCACCTTCAAAGGTTGGACTGAGCTAGGTGGACTGAGTTAATTGAGGTGGGAGGATTATGAGGACTGTGCAAGGAGTTGGAGTTCTCAAGGGCAACAACAGTAGCCACTGTGGTTCTGAATCTCTCATTCCTGGTTTCATCAAGCCACTACACTGAAACCTACATGTTCCTGGAGGGGTGTGTGTATATATATAGTACTGCCAACCTGAAGGCATACCATTCAAATCCATTAGCTGCTTCAAGGGAGAAAGAATAGCAGTCTTCTCCCGTGTGATGATTTACTGCTTCTGAAAACCCACTGGAAGGTTTAGATATGTGCTGACTTTGACTCGACAGTACATAACAACAGCTATATATATTGTGTTGTGTCCACTCCATATTTGACTAGTTCTCTCACCATATTTGACTAGTTCTCGCAAGATAAGTGTAACTGCTTCTGTGTTCCCTTACTCCTTCAAGGCTGTGCTGATTCCACCCACATGGCACCAGAGATGGATGATGGGACAGGGCAGATGGAGTGGATTGCTTGGTTTTGTCCACATAAGGCTATTCCTAGAAATTTTCTTGTCTTCATGTTTTCTTCTCATGTCTGCTTTCTCCAGACAGATGCCTGCTCTGGCTTGCAGGGCTTCCTGATCTTCCATAGTTTTGGTGGAGGCACTGGATCTGGCTTCACGTCTCTGCTGATGGAGCGCCTCTCCCTGGATTACGGCAAGAAGTCTAAGCTAGAATTTGCTATCTACCCAGCCCCACAAGTGTCCACTGCGGTGGTGGAGCCCTACAACTCCATCCTGACCACCCACACCACACTGGAACACTCAGACTGTGCTTTCATGGTGGACAACGAGGCCATCTATGACATCTGCCGCAGGAACCTGGACATCGAGCGCCCCACCTATACCAACCTCAACCGTCTCATCAGCCAGATTGTGTCCTCCATTACTGCCTCTCTCCGCTTTGATGGGGCCCTCAACGTGGACCTCACCGAGTTCCAGACCAATCTGGTGCCCTACCCACGCATCCACTTCCCGCTGGTCACCTACGCACCCATCATCTCTGCCGAGAAAGCCTACCATGAACAACTTTCCGTAGCTGAGATAACAAGCTCCTGCTTTGAGCCCAACAGCCAGATGGTGAAGTGTGACCCAAGACATGGCAAGTACATGGCCTGCTGCATGCTGTACCGAGGGGACGTGGTGCCCAAGGATGTGAATGTGGCTATTGCCGCCATCAAGACCAAGAGGACCATCCAGTTTGTAGACTGGTGCCCCACAGGCTTCAAGGTGAGAGATTATGATTTAAGGAGAAGACTGCTGACTGAGAAGCAGTTCTGATCTTTTTTTTTTGTAAATAGTTTTAAAAAGAATTTTTTAAAGATAAAAGTTCTCCCTTAAATGAAAGTAAGTGAGTAGGAGAATGTACAGAGGGAAAGAGAAAAATAAGAGACATGAAAATGGTGGTAAAAACAGACAAAAAATTCAGGTCCTCTATTCTGTATTTTAAGTTGAAGCTCTGGAGCCAGGTCCATAAAAAGAAATAAGGTAGTTCTAGAATCTTTGGCTGTGTCTCCGAAAAGCACTTGTCACGGGGGTAGATGCTGATGAGCTTCATCTTCTTACATCCTCTCCAGGCATGTTTCTCTCTCTTCTTGGACTCAGGGCGAAGGATGCTACTCTTCAGAAGAGTTAGCATTTTGCAGGCACAAGGTGTATGCTGATCAGGGCCAGATTTAGCAAATTACATGATGTGACTAAGTTTCTAGTCATTGTTCTCCTTCCCACCTCTTTGCCCTGTTTCTCAGTATCATTCTCCTCCATCAAATGATCTTCTTGTCTGAGCTTTTGCTCCACTACCTCCTGGTAATTTCACTTACTCCAGTGAACATATATTTTAAAGCTATGAATTTAAGATATTGGTAATGAAGCCATAGTGCCTAGGGTAGGTTTGTTTTTTAGTATCCCATGAATATTGTTACACTGTGTTAGCTTTGACTTATGGAACCTCTTGCTATTATTGAGTCAAGTACAACTCAGCATCCCTACAAACAACAGATCTGAACCCCATCCTGTTCTGGGCCAGCCTCACAATCTCTGACACACTCAGGCCCATTGCTGCAGCCACTGAGTCAGCCCACCTGGTTAAGGGTCTTCCTCTCTTTTGCTGTGTCCCCATCTTTCCAAGTGCAGTATTCTCCAGGAGTGTGCCCAAAGTCTGCAAGTGTCCCACAAATATTATCACAACTCGTCACCCTAGACGTCTGGTATTTTACAGTTCCTGGAGTTGGCCTGTGGTTGGGAAATGTGTGTTTGCTGGTAGAAGGGGGAATTCTAGGATAAAGACCCACCATTAGAGGAGGCTGGGGGTGAGCTGGAGGACTTGTCTGTGTTACTAGAACTTGAGAAACCAATAGTCTGTAATAGAAGTACTTTTCTTCAAAAAGCCCATTTCCTTTGTGACACAGGGCCTAATTATCACTAATACCATTCCTAGGACCTATTGATTCTATTTGTTTCTTGCTTTGGAATACCCACATGACCTTTTAAATAACTCTTCAGTTAGGGCAGTGAAACTTCCCGATGTTTATTGACAGTATAATTAAGAACTTCAAAGAAAGTTTACAACAACTTCAAGTTTAGAAATTAAATTTCCTGTAATAGCCTCTTTCCCTTTCTTAGACATAAACATATACTTCCATTTAATAATGTCATTCATTACCCTAATCTGTCTCCTTGAAGCACCTCACTAACATTTCTACTCAGTATTAGTAGCCCTGTTCTCTTTTTCTTCTCCAACTTTTCAGTTCCCTGACGCTGTTCCTTGAGTTTGCCTACACACTCTCCCAGCAAGCTTTGGTAGTATAGTCCCCAGCGAGCTGCACTGTGACCCCAAAGGCCCTGTCTCTCTGGTGGCTCCATCCATCAGTGCTTCCTTTGGAGAAAGATGGGCAATCTCCTCCCACATAATTGGCAGCCTCCAAAAACCTGCTGTAGGGTCAGCTATGAGTGGGTTTCGATTCAACAGCAATGACTTTTGATAATCTCATTCACTAGTATTCCACTCCCCTATACTTTCCCTTCAACACTCACCCCTCTCTACTTCCTGTTCCTCTGCCTTATGGTTCCTTCTGCCACATTCCACACTCACGACCCTGTGTTGCTTCGTCTTGAGGAGTTACCACGAGCAATCTTTTTACTGATTCGCCTCTTCCTCTGTTGTTGCTCCTTCTTTATCTTGGTTCTGCAGGTGGGCATCAACTACCAGCCACCTACGGTGGTGCCAGGAGGGGACCTGGCCAAAGTCCAGCGTGCTGTCTGCATGCTGAGCAACACCACGGCGATCGCAGAGGCCTGGGCTCGCCTGGACCACAAGTTTGACCTCATGTATGCCAAGCGGGCATTTGTGCATTGGTATGTTGGAGAAGGGATGGAGGAAGGAGAATTTTCCGAGGCCAGGGAGGACCTGGCTGCCCTGGAGAAAGATTATGAAGAAGTGGGGACTGATTCATTTGAAGAGGAAAATGAAGGGGAGGAATTTTAAATACACATGTTCCCCTTGACTTTGTCTCTTTATTTAGTGATGTTTCTGTCAAAGTATATTTAATTACTCCATGAGCAAAAGACCTAATCGCAGGCTGATTTCTGTCATACATAACAGCAGTGCCAGGGCCAAAGATGGAGGCTGACCTGTAGCATAGCCTTCCTTGGGTAATAGTGTGTCACCAAAGGAAATAAGGATCTCTATCTCAGGGCTGGAGTAAAGGCAAGTTATGTATGTGAGCTGGCCTAATTAGGATCTACTAGATGTCTCTGGAAACTCTACAAACTCTCTAAATCGTTTAAATGTACAGAAATGATGGTAGTTATAGAACAGAGTTCTGTATAGAAATGATAGTAGTCATAGAACAGAGTTTAGATTTTGTACAAAACTTACCCTCAGTCGTATTCTACTTGACAACACTTAACCACTTCTAAGTGAAACTAGTGCCGTTATATCTAGAGGAACACTCTTCCACTTTGTACGTCACTCTTTGTCAATGCAGTAAGAGTAACTTGGGTTGCTGTGATGCTGAACCTTGTGCCGTTGGGGTATCAAATACCAGAATGGCTTCACAATGTAGACAGTGTTTGGTGGAGCTCCCAGTTGTAAAACAGGTTTCACAGTAAGAGTGGCATCCACTTTCTTAATCACATGCCTCTGGAAACTCTATGAACTTGGAGAAGTGATGACAGTTATGGAAAGGTATTAGGTCTTTTGTTCATAGAGTGGCTATGAGTCGCGCTCGACTTGACAGCAGTCAACAACAACAACAACAACAACAACAACAACAACAACATCTTGAGGTTGGAGTAAAGGCAAGTTATATGGGTGAGCTGGCCTAATTAGAAGTTTTAATTCCTACTTGAGCTGTGGCTAATTCCAAACATTGCCTATTGACTAGGGAATGATAGAACAATTTGGGAAAGGAAAACTGTGGGCCCTGGGAAAATTCTGGGCAGGTAGCGGGAGGAATTCATATTAATGGGTAGCATCGCACAGGCACCATCTGGACCTATCATATTCACATTCATTCATTCTCAGTTATTTACATTCATTCATTCTCAGTTATTTGCATATGCATAGTGTGTGAGGTACTATATCACATGGCTATAGTCTAGACATCTATCTGCTTGTAAATGCAATGAGGTGAATGGGTGTTTGGGGAAGATCTGAAACTTTTCAAGATTGAAGTATTTTCTGCCTTGAATTTTCTGTTGGAACCATATATTTTCAGGAATGGAAGACATTTTGAGTGAAATGAAGAAAGTAATTTTTGAGGTAATATGGATTTTGACACAATTAGTGGGACACACGTTCTCTGAGCTTGTTTGGTGCTGAGTTGGTGGAGTAAGGCCTGTCTCTGCAGATTCACACAATCATACAGGCCTCATCAGATGACAGCATATACTGTGTTGGGATATCAGCTTCCCACATATCCTAGAGCCAGAGAAGTTAGGTGAGTGCTGTAGACCCCTCAGGTTAAGCAGGGCAAGCAGAGTATTTACTGTGATTAAAATGACACTAAGTATATGCTTTGTCTCAAACCTTCCCAATAATGTCAAAATGAATATTCTGCTCACTTTAAAGATGAAGGAAATGGGAAGAAATTAAGTTTAGATAGCAAAGAATACCAATTTTATAGCCTACCCATATTTAATTTTATTGTTATGAGGGATCAGTCCTTGGGAAAAGACATCATGTTTGGAAAGATGAGGGGTCCATAAAAGAGAGGAAGACCTTCAACAAGATGGATTGATGCAGTAACTGACAGTGGGTTCAAATATACCAGAGATGATGAGAAAGACACAGAGCAGGACAGGGTACAGACCTGGGGTTTGTAATGTAGCTATGTGTCTTAGTTGACTTGGCAGCCCCTAGCAACAACAACAATAATGCTATTTTTATTCTGGGACTTGTGAGCCAGGTTCCAGCTTCTACTAATAAAAGGAAGAATGAAGGGAAACAAGTTTTACATAATTTACCAAGGGGAGGATGAGACAGTGTGCTGTTTCCTTAAAGTTGGTGACTGCACCACAACAATTAAAAAATGGGCACAGGATATGAACAGACACTTCACCGAAGAAGACATTCAGATGGCTAACAAACACATGAGGAAATGTTCAAAATCCCTAGCTCTAAGAGAGATGCAAATCAAGACAACTATGAGATATTATTCTGACCCCAGTCAGAATAGCAAAATTTAACAGAACAGCAAGCAAAAAATGCTGGCGAGGTTGTGGAGAGACTGGAACCCTTATTCACTGTTGGTGGGAGTGTAAAATGGTGCAACCACTGTGGAAGATGGTGTGGCGCTTTCTTAAAAAGTTGCAAATAGAAATACCATTTGACCCAGCAATTCCAATACTAGGAATATATCCCAAAGAGACCATAACTGCCACCCAAGCAGATATATGCACACCCATGTTTGTCGTGGCTTTGTTCACAATAGCAAGGAGTTGGAAACAACCCAAGTGCCCATCAACAAATGAATGGATAGAGAAGCTGTAGTATATTCACACAATGGAATATTACACTGCATTGAAAAACAAGGAGCTCATGCAATATTATTCAAAATGGGTGACCTTGGAGGACATTATGCTGAGTGAAATATCTCAGTCACAAAAGGACAAACACTGCATGCTGCCACTGTTGTGGAGCAGGACTGACATTGGGCTTGGGGGAAGACTGAGAAAGATGGGTTAGATAGTGTATGCTGCATTGAATCCGATGAGGGAGAGGGCTGTTTAAGGGGGAAATGTGATTAGGTATTTTTGTCATGAGTCCAGAGCGAAGACTGCATAGTGGAGTGGACCTGGGGGGGGGGGGGGGGTTGCAAAACAAAGAATTTTACTTTTCCAAGAGGGGAGTGTACTGGGGGGGGGAGGGTTGGGAGAGGAGAAAAATACAACAATGAATGAATGGAAATCCAAAGTCTCTGTAAATTTTTACTAAAATTAATACTAATAAAAAAATCAGAAAAAAAAATGACAGAACATTTTAGATGGGAGAGAGGGGGCCCAGCTGATAATGCAACACAGTATTTCAAGAAACCTCAAGAAGGTGGCGTCTCCCAGAACAAGAAAATTGGAGATTCTGCTTCTTTTTCCTAGTGAGTAAAAATGAATCACTTTACCAAGAAAATCTTGATTTCCTTATCAGTCAAGACAAGACAGTTGACTCAAATGCTTTTTAAAATAAAGGAGCAGAAAGGAGAGAAAAAAAAGTTGGTGATTTTGGTGGGATTTTGGGAATAAGACTGCTCCTTAACCACTGGAAAGACACACACATGGGCCCATAGCAGACCCTTGTGCAGAAAATGCAAGCTTCTTTAACTAAGCTTTAACAGAAATCAAGTGAAAGCTTAGACCAGAAGCGATAACAATAACTTCTAGAAGATTGTTTTCAGGTATCATGTGCTCTCTGCTCTCTTGCTCCTCTTTGAAGGATATCATATTTTAAAATAATGCTCAGATCTGCTGTGTATTGTGACCTCATTCCTGCACCAACACAGGAATCTGCAAGCACAAGCTTGGCTTTTAGGAGAATTGGTGAGGAGCCATTCCTCCCCCTCAGCGTCATTGGAGGCCACATGGGGAGCAGTAATCAGGGGTCTCCTCCACTCCTCACAGCCAAGGTGGCATCAGTGGAGCCTCAGTGGGAGACTAACTGAAAGGTCAGGAAGACTGACCCCCTAATGAGCAGTAACAAACTGAGGAACAGGCAGTAATCAAACATGTCTGTGAGTATACATTTTAGTATAGTTATGACTTAGACAATCATGTTAATGTTTGAGATAGTCAAAGATGCATAAAACAGCAAGGATCAGGTGGGAAAACCTTGTGACATAACTTCACACACACAAATTGCATATAAAATGGATAGCAAAACTTTATATATGTTGTTGTTGCCAGGTGCCATTGAGTTGAATATGACTCATAATGACCCTATGAACAATAAACCTGAAGCCTCCCTCTCCTCTGCCATCTTCATCATTTCTGACACACTTGAGCCCATTGCTGCTGTCACTGTGTCACCTGTCTCACTGTGGCTTCTGCTCTCTCTCTGACCTTTCACCTTTCCAAGCATGATGTCTTTCCAAGGAGTGAACCATCCTAACCACATACCAAAGTATGTAAGAAGATGTTTCACCATCCTTGCCTCTAAGGAGCACCCATGGAGAAGAAGGGGAAAAAAATCTAATCCAAGCAATTATGAACATAGGTCTTCTAAAAGTTAAAAAGAACCCCTTGAAATTTATATGGTAGGTTTGCTATTGAGAATAGAGTAAGTGTAGGAGAGAGAGAGTTGTGTGTGTGTGTGTGTGTGTGTGTGTGTGTGTGTGTGTGATCTGCCAGACTGAGCTAGCGTTCTCACTGGAGAAGAATGGAGCTATCATTATGGAATGGAATAAAGCAAGAAATTACCTTGTGTTGTGTTGGAATGTCTTAGAGCTGTCCTTAGAAACAAACTAGAAACAATGACGTGTAGGCTCTAATTCTGGGTTATTCTTGATTTCTAAAGCCCATTGCCAACGGAAAGGAAACCTGACTCCTTTTTGGGGGCCTGGACCACTTCAGGGCCGAGGCAGGAAAGCTACAGAAAGAACTGGAAGCATTCAGCATCGGAAGGCATACTGTTAGTCGGAGTTGGCTCTGACTCCAACAACAGCAGAACTCTGTCTCTGCAACGGAACAAAACCCCGCCTGATCCTGCACCATCCTCTCGCTCTCCACAGGGCTGAGCCCTCAACCTGAGGAACACCATGTGAGACAGGCTTCCTATTGGCCAATCTGAACATCAAGGTTTATAATGTCAGGAAGGAGCTAAAATGCTCATTGAATAAAACAGAATCCTTGATCCACGGTGATGCTGAAAAACAAAATGAGGGGGTGCAGGAGGGAAAGCTCTTTTTAGTAGAATAATAACCAATAAATGTAGAAATGTAGGAGAATCAACACCAAAAAGCCCCATAGATTTAGAATATCTTCATCAATGTTTCTAAGTGGCTTGAAACAAATTTCTAAAATAGAAAGTTGTAGCAAAGAAAGAAAATA